TTCGGCGCCCGTCGGTATCGGTGAACCGACCCCCCATCCCCATCGCCTTCCCCTTCGAGACCCCCGCCAGATCGCCGCCCCACGTCGGGGATGCGCCCCTCGAAAAAGCCGAAGGGGACGGCCTATGTCCCCTTCTAGGGGGGGTGAATCGGCCAGTGGGGCCCAGGCCACGCCGCTGGGGATGGGGATCGGTTCAACGATACTCGATCCGGGTCGTGTCCTCGGGGTCCACGGCTGTCACGAAAACGGCGCGGGGCGAAACTCCCCCCCCCCCGAAAGGACGTCGAGGGGGCGCGGGGTTCACCTGGGGGTCCGTTCGGGCCCCCTTCTGGGCTCTCTTGGCGCCCTCCTCGCGGCCTGGCATGACTCTCTTGTGACCGGGTTGGCAAACATCGATCAAAGAAGGAGAGGTCCTGCAGGGTCCGGCTTGACTATGGAACGCGTGCTTTTCGGAAGGGGCTCGATCGCACCTTTGGTTTGCATGCGTTTTGCTACCTTTTTGGCGGCGGCCCCCCCTGGTGTTTCTTCGGGCTCCGTAGATTTACTTGGAACAAAAGCGGCCTCGTTCCTTATTTATCGTTCCTTAGGTCAGGCGGAAACCTGTAGTTAACCCTGCCCCCCTGGAGCGCCAACATCCCCGCGTGGAGCGGGGGAGAATGAAGACGAGGAGGCGAAGGCCTCTCAGGGGCTCTGTTGGGGCTTCCTGGGGACCTGCTGGGGGCCTCTTGAGGGGCTGCGCGGAGGCCCACGTGGGCCCACGTGGGCCCTCGTAGGGGGCCTTTGGGGGGCCTCAGGGGCAGTCTTCGGGGGGCTGCTGGCCCGCGTGACGCCGTCGGACGCCGCCTTGGGAGCCCCGCTGGGCGGTGTTGGTGCCCTCTGGGAGCGCTTTAGGTGGGACGCACAGAGACACACTGATACGATATGTCCTCCTTGGAGGCGTGCGTCCGACCCGAACATATAGCATGCCCATCTTGTAGCATATCGTTTCGCGAGCGGTGCGGCCAGAACGTGCCCGCCACGACGCACATACGTAGCACCCCGCAGTTGCGGATAAGGGTGAGGGGACAGCGGGGACGTCGGCAGTATGCGAGGCTTTGAAGAAGCCTACCACAGGCGCATAATTTTCAAGCTATACAACGTGCCCGCCGCATGCGCCGATTTTTTGTTAAAACCTTGTCGGTGGGCCGCGGGTTGGGTCGCAAGTGGGTCGCTGGTGGGTCGACGGTGGGTCGTGGGTCGGGTCGTGGGTCCGGTCGCGGGTGGGTCGTGGGTGGGTCGCGGGTGGGTCGCGGGTGGGTCGCGGGTGGGTCGCGGGGTGGGTCGCGGGTGGGTCGCGGTTGGGTCGCGGGGTGGGTCGCGGGTGGGTCGCGAGGTGGGTCGCGGGTGGGTCGCGGGCCGGGTGGCGGGGGGGACGTCGACAACAACAACAATCATTTTAATCTTGTTCGCTCTCAAGCAATATCCTCACCACGGATCCGCACTTCAGCCACGCACTCAGGGACAATGAATGACCGTTCGGCCCCCTCACTCTGACTATAAGATATCTCGGTGCGCGCGTCGCCCCTGGGGGGGCGGCGCCCATATAGTGTAAGTATCTTGGGGCGACGCCGATTGGGGCCTTCCTGGGGCCCTTTTGGGAGGAGCTCGGGCGATCTTGGGTCCTGCTGGGCCGACCTGGCGCATCTTCAAGGGCCTCATCGGCTGTCCTGGGGCCGTCTCGGAGGCCGCCTCTCTGCGGCCGGGGGCCCGAACGGCCGAGAGCCTCAGAGCCAGTGGCACACCGCACTGCGGTGGAAGCAAAGTTCTCTGAATTTTCAGACGGGCATCGCGCGGGGCAGACGGGGCTGGTCGACGCGCTCGCGCGTTCGGCGTTCGGCCCACGATGGGCTGATTGCCGGGGACCGGCACGGTTGGCTGGTTGGAGTAATTTGTCTGTTCTTGGAGGAGCAAGGCGACGGCGACGACGATTCAACCAGAAAGGGTTTCGCTGATGCAGACCTTTCGTCCTGTTAGCCTCTTGGAGCCCCCTTCGGGCTATGTCGGGGACCGTTGAGGCCAACTTGTGGCTCTCTTGGGGCCCTCTTGGGACCAGCTTGGAAAACATCGACTAAACAAGGAGAGGTCCTTGTGAGCCCTGCCCCCCTGGAGCGCCAACATCTCCGCGTGAAGCGGGAGAACATGAAGACAAGGAGGAGAAGGCCTCTCAGGGGCTCTCTGGGGGCTTCCTGGGGACCTGCTACGGGCCTCTTTGGGGCCTCTTGAGAGCCTCTTGGGGGCCTCTTGGGACCTCTTGGGCAGTCTTAGTTAGGGAGCTCTTGGCGCGTGTGACGCCCTCGGGGGCCGTCTTGGGGGCCTCTCTGGGCCCTCTTGGGGCGCTTTAAGGCCGTCTTGGGGCCCTCATGGGAGACTCTTGGGTGATCTTGCGGTCCTGTTTGGCCGACTTGGGGCCCTCTTTCGGTGCTTCATGGGCTGTCTTGGAGCTATCTTGAAGGCATTTTCTGCCGGCTTGGATGGTCGGGAGCCCAGGCAGGCGAGAACTTCAACATCATTGAACAATCGAACGGCAATCAATGTTTGTTGCCTCCTCGGGGGCCTCTTTGGGCCTCTGGAGGACGTCGTCTTGGGGTGATATTTTGGGGCCTCTGGCATCAGGGCCACCGCAAGCGCGCCGCCGTCGACGAATGAAAAAAAAAACGCAAGGGACAGGCAAAGTGGGGAGGCAGACCAGGAGGCCGAAGGGGCGCCATAGGACATCGGAAGCGGCGGTGGCGGGGCCGGCGCTCGAAACCAGTAGCGGCGGCTTCGGAGAGAGGGGAGGGGGGGGGAAATCTCCCACTGCCTCTTGGCGATGTTTTGATGTTCTTTCCCCCCCTCCCTCCCCTCCCAGGGCCCAAGGGGCGCCATGGGACATCGGAAGCGGCGGTGGCGGGGCTGGTCCTCGAAGCCAGTTGCGGCGGCCTCGAAAAAGGGGAGAGGGGGGAGAAGCAAACAAGAAACATCTCCCGTCCTCTCTTGGCGATCCCCCCCCCCAAAGAGGCACCAGGAGGAGTGCGCATCGCTGCCGTCCACGAGTGGGGGGGGGGGAGGGAGCTCCGTGCCCTCTCCTCCGCCTCCCACTGTCCCCTCGCGGCGGCCTCGGAGGAAGGGCGGGGGGGGGGAGGGCAAAAAAGAAGAATCCCCACCCCCTCTTGGCGTTTTTTTGTTCTCCCCCCTCGTCCCCCCCAAAGAGGCGCCACAGGAGGAATGTGCACCACTGCCGTCCACGAGGGGGGGGGAGGGAGGGAGTTCCGTCCCTTCTCCGCCGCCTCCTCCTGTCCCTTACTCCCTCTCCTTCTCTGTCTCAGTACTCCCCTCGTCGTCCCCTCCTCCTTCGCCTCTCCCCTCCTCGTCGCTCCCTCCTCCTTCGCCTTTTCCCTTCCTTTCCGCGCCCCCCAAAAAACGCCACCCCAGAATCATCCGTACTGGCCAATTGAGGTTCCTTGGGCCGTCTTAGGGGTTTCTTGGCCTTTCCGCTGACGCCTTCGGATACCGTCTTGGTTGGGGGCATGTCTGGCCCTCTTGGCGCCCTCTTGGGGACCTTTACGACCCTCTCGGTAGACTCCCGCGCGATCTTTGGGCCCTCTGGGGCACATTCGGGGCCTTCTTGGGGTGCGTCCTGGGCTATATTGGAGCTATCTTGAGAGCCTCTTGGATGCCTCTTGGGCCGTCTTGGGCGGTCGAAACTCCAGACAGGCGAGAGCCTCAACATCTATCAATTATCCGGGCGAAGTGCAACCATATGCACTTGTGGGTGCCGCGTTGTGGCACCGCTTTCGGTGGAGCTCCCTATGAGGCCACGAGGCGTGCTAGGAGTGTGCCGAAATGGGCGGGGAACCGCATGCGAACCCCGCCACTGATGCAAACGTTGGAGCTCCCTATGTGGCCACGAAGCGTGTGAGGGGTGTGCTGGTATGGGCGGGAAACCTCATGATAACCTTGCCACTGGGCTTTCGGTGGGGCTCCCTACGGGGCCGCAAAGTGTGTGGGGTGTGTGCCGACATGGGCGGGGAACCGCGTGCGAACTTTGCCATTGAGGCCGTCGGTGAGGGGTGTGCCGAAGTGGGCGGGGAACCGCATGCGAACTTTGCCACTGGGGCCTTCAGTAGCCCCCTGTGGGGCCTCGGGACGTGTGGGGGTGTACTGAAATGTGCTGGGAACCGCATGCGATCTGTGCCACTGGTGCCTTCGGTGGGGCTCCCTGTGGGGCCACGAGACGTGTGAGGGGTGTGCCGAAACAGTGGCGCGCGGAGGGGAAAGGCAGGGGATCGGAGGAGGGAGTGCGAGGAGGAGGAAGGAGGAGAGGGGACCATGGGCGTTGTCTCTTCAAAACGAGGACCCACCACCACATGATGGTCGGGAAACAACTTCGTAGACAGCAGGCAAGCATTCTAACGCCCACTCCGTGCAGGCACGGTGGCGGATACTCAACACAGGACCCTCAATGATCTGGAGACCCAACAAAGCCCAACAAGCTGGGCCATCATGGGGCGCCCGCAAGAAGGCCCCTCCCCATTGCGCACCAGGGCAAGAACCAGACATCCAAACAAACTTGACCATCTTAAGGCACGCTGGACCCCCGTTGGCCACATCGCGCCGCGGGCTTCCTGGGGTTGGCCAGAATCGTCCGTTCTGGCGTCATTTGGCTGGGGGGGAAGAGAGGATGACGTCGACGACGTGGAGGCTCATCCGCAGCGACCAGCTCAAGTTTTCGTCACGATTTACCCGCTCAGTTCCGCACGTCGCTTCCGCGAGCCTCCTCTGGCCTTCCTGCGATCGGCCATGGCGTTCGGCAGCTCCCTCCGATTGCTCCTGCTGCAGATCCCGCTGAGCCTGGGCTTCAACAGGACGGCGCCCAAGAGGCAGCTTCGGGGCCTCCTCTCCGAGACGATCTACTGCAACCCTTACCTGCAGCAGATGTGCCCCCCAGGTGACGTGGCGTGCCCGCAGTGCGGTTCGGACAGGTGCGAGTGCCCTGGCAGCCCAGGTCCGAGCCCCAGCCCAGTCACCAAGTGCAGCTGGGAGGAGCACAGGAACAGCGACGGCAACAATTTGCTGCAAGCTCCCTGGTCCCAGGACCCGCAGGCGTGCTGCAACCACTGCGGCGAGCAGTCGGGGTGCGCGGCGTGGACCTTCATTCAGGGCAGCCACGAGTGCTGGTTGAAGAGCTGGGTGCCGTCTAGGGACCAGTGGCGCTGGGACGACTCGGCCATCAGCGGCCAAATCGGGGCGCCGAGCCTCCAGGCGGCCGTTGATGCGCCAAGCAACAGTTCGCTCCAGGGCCTCCTCTCCGAGACGATCTACTGCAACCCTTACCTGCAGCAGATGTGCCCCCAGGTGACGTGGCGTGCCCGCAGTGCGGTTCGGACAGGTGCGAGTGCCCTGGCAGCCCAGGTCCGAGCCCCAGCCCAGACACCAAGTGCAGCTGGGAGGAGCACAGGAACAGCGACGGCAACAATTTGCTGCAAGCTCCCTGGTCCCAGGACCCGCAGGCGTGCTGCAACCACTGCGGCGAGCAGTCGGGGTGCGTGGCGTGGACCTTCATTCAGGGCAGCCACGAGTGCTGGTTGAAGAGCTGGGTGCCGTCTAGGGACCAGTGGCGCTGGGACGACTCGGCCATCAGCGGCCAAATCGGGCGAGCCTCCAGGCGGCCGTTGATGCGCCAACAACAGTTCGCGGGCCTCCTCTCCGAGACGATCTACTGCAACCCCTACCTGCAGCAGATGGTGCCCCCCAGGTGACGTGGCGTGCCCGCAGTGTGGTTCGGACAGGTGCGAGTGCCCTGGCAGCCCAGGTCCGAGCCCCAGCCCAGACACCAAGTGCAGCTGGGAGGAGCACGTGAACAGCGACGGCAACAATTTGCTGCAAGCTCCCTGGTCCCAGGACCCGCAGGCGTGCTGCAACCACTGCGGCGAGCAGTCGGGGTGCGCGGCGTGGACCTTCATTCAGGGCAGCCACGAGTGCTGGCTGAAGAGCTGGGTGCCGTCTAGGGACCAGTGGCGCTGGGACGACTCGGCCATCAGCGGCATACTGGGAGGTCGGTGAGCTTCTGCAATTTGGGTGTGGCCTGCGCACAATACTGCAACCGTGCTGGTTCATCTGGTCCGACACCGTCTGTTGGCGCGCCAGGCTTGCCAGTGCCAATAGAGCGCTGGAAGTACAGTGTGCATGGTTGAGGAGGCGCTCCGCCGTCTGCGCCCCCCCTCGTTGAAAATTATGGTTGCCTTTGGCACGTCTTGCCATTTCGCGCCACGTCGCGCTGACATAGCCATCATCCCATCCAGGACTTCAAGTTGATGACCACATGGAGGAGCGAAGAGGTCAACAATCGTCAATTGACGCGTCGCGTATCCCCATTCGCCCAGACAGCAGCGATGTCCAGGCGAGTCGCCTTGACCAGGGAGGCGTAGAAGCATGCAGTGCAAGAAAGGAGGAAAGAAGGATAGGAAGCCATCAAAATGATTTTTTGGATCAGCTTGAGCATACCCATGAGTGCACCTAATATTTGTTCGCGGGCCTGTCGAACGAGGGGTAGGAGGGGGGCCAGGACTATGATAATAATAATGATAGTAATGCTAGTAATAATAATAATGATGATGATGAGGATGATGATGATGATGATGATGCTGCTGCTGATGATGATGATACCGATGACACTGATGGTACGGATGATGACGATGCTGATTCCAACGCTACTGGTGCTAATGATGATGCTGATAGTGAGTATGATGATGAAGATGACAATGGCGATGGCCATGGTGATGATGATGCTGATCTTGACGGTGATGATGATGACGATAACGGTGATGATGACGATGGTGGTAAATATGATGACTAGGACGAGGATGATGATGATGATGACGATGATGATGGTGGGGACGGCGATTGTTCGGATGATGAGGACGATGATCATGATGCTGATGCTGTTGTTGCTCCTTATGATGATGTTGCTGCTGATTGATGATGGTGATGATGATTCTGCTGATGATGCTGATGATGGTTTCGTCCACGATGGCGCTGAAGATGCTGCTGCGGATGATGTTGATCATGATGACGACGGCGATGGTGATGATGATGGCGATGATGGTCATGATGATGGCGATGGCTATGTTGATGATGCGGGTTATGATAAAGACGGTGACGGTGATGATGAGGTTTCTGATGATGCTGATGATGGTGTAGGTGACCTTGATGATAATGATGACGGTGATCATGACGATAATGGTGTTAAGGAAGAGGAAGAGGAAAAGGAAGATAATACGGAACGCGGATGAGAAGGATGAACAGGAGGAACCAGGATGGAAAAAGGATCAGGAGGATGAGGAGGACAGACAGAATATGAGTTTGACAGACAACGCCCCCCACTGAATTTATGTTTAATCTTAGGTGGGAGGAGGAGGAGGAGGAGGAGGAGGAGGAGGAGGAGGAGGAGGAGGAGAGAGACAGACGACGAGAAGGAGGAGGAGGATAAACCTGTTGGTGGAGGAGGAGGAGGAGGAGGGAAAAAGGAGGAGAAGGAGGAGGAGTTGGAAGACGAGGATCCGAGAGGAAAAAGGCGACGGCGACGACGACGATTCAACCAGAAAAGGCCTTCGCTGATGCAGACCTTTCGTCCTGTTAGCCTCGTGGAGCCCTCTTGGGGCCCTCTGTGGGCTATTTCGAGGTCCGTTGAGGCCATCTTGTGGCTCTCTTGGGGCCGTCTTGGGACCAGCTTGGACCCCATCGATCAAAAAAGGAGAGGTCCTTGTGAACCCTGCCACCCTGGAGCGCCAACATATCCGCGTGAAGCGGGAGAACATGAAGACAAGGAGGAGAAGGCCTCTCAGGGGCTCTCTGTGGGTTTCCCGGGGACCTGCTACGGGCATCCTTGGGCCTCTTGAGAGCCTCTTGGGAGCCTCTTGGGACCTCCTGGGCAGTCTTAGGGGGGCTCTTGGCGCGTGTGACGCAGTCGGAGGCCGTCTTGGGGGCCTCTTTGGGCCCTCTGGATGCCCTCTTGGAGCGCTTTAAGGCCGTCTTGGGGCCCTCATGCGAGACTCTTGGGCGATCTTGGGGTCCTGTTGGGCCGACTTGGGGCCCTCTTTGGGGGCTTCATGGGTTGTTTTGGGACTATATTGGAGGCATCTTGGGCCGGCTTGGATGGTCGGAAACCCAGGGGCGAGAATTTCAGCATCATTGAACAATCGAACGGCAATCAATGCTTGTTGCCTCCTCGGGGGCCTCTTGGAGCTTCTGGGGGACGACGTCTTGGGGGAGTATTTTGGGGCCTCTGGCGTCAGGGCCGCCGCAGGCGCGCCGCCGTCGACGAAGACAAAGAAAAAACGCAAGGGACAGGCAAAGGGGGGAGGAGGACCAGGAAGCCTAAGGGGCACCATAGGACATCGGACGCGGCGGTGGCGGACCCTAAAGCGAGCTGAGGGACGCAAGGAGTGGAAGCGAGCGTGCGCCCGCGGCCGCGTCGACTCAAGCGGCCGGCCGCCCAAATTTGACTGTGCCTCACCGCGAGGCACACAATCGCCATCGAGACCAAAAGGATTTTCCTATTGCTTGAGATGGCATCTCCTTTGTATATTGGGACTATCGTTGCTAAGGTACAACAGAGCTGGAGCTTGGCTTCGCCTGAGGCGAAGCTGTTGACTGGGCCTTCCAGCCCCCTTCAAACTTGGTAGCGGAGCTGGCCTATGGTGGTCAGCTCTGGCTCTACTCCTCACCATCCACGGCAGTATCTGGTGGACTACGGATATGGTGGAACATCAGGGTGCAGTGGGATTGCGCGGAGGAGTGTACATAACAACGCAGTACCGCGAAGAAACTTGCAGCGATACGTCTGTCCGAGCGGAGGTCCCTTACTCACATCTTACATCCCTGTGCTATTACACACCTGAAGTCCACCCACCTACTCCAATTGGAATTTTTTCGAAGACATAATGCATGGAAACGTGCGATACGATATACTGCCGCCTCCGACCCCGCGCAGATTTACCACTACAAAACATAAGCCCCCACCGACTACACCCGAACATGACCCACGAGGCCACTGGATTGGGGTTGCTATGTTTGGCCTCATATGGGTTGCTGTTGGGTGTGCGGTAGGACATGCGGGGCGGTGACGACATTAGAACGACTGGCCGCCATTGGGCCCCTGCCGGTCAAGTAGCATTTCACGAGTTCGTCCGCGAAGTACATGCCTGGATCATGTGACCACAGGCAACGCGACGCCCTCCCAGCAGGCCGCCGCATTGCAGCGCGGTATGGGAGGTTTCGCACGGACCAGAGCCATGAGAGTCCCTCCAGCAGTCATTAACTTTGGTGTCAATATAGGCGGTCGCCACACTGACGGCGTCATCTACATTATGTTCCTCTTAAGTACGAAGTTCGAGAACCTAGAAGAGGAACGCCAACTCAACTCTGGCTCGGCTCTAATTGACTTTCGAGTCCATGCGGGTGAACATATCGACCAGACGTTAGCACGGTTCGAATTGGCCCGCTACGAAGCTGAAACCGCCGGCTTCAACATCCCCAACTTCCAAATACTAGCAGTAATTCTATTCAGAGTTCTTGGACTGGGGACGTCGCGTGCACAACAACTCCTGCAGCCTCTGAACCACCGCCTGCCGAGGGACCAACCACACTTTGACGCTCTACGTGACTGCATGAGGTCGCATGCTCACATAGCTGAGAGGACCCCTGGCAATATTGGTGGCATCTTTAGCAACGGTCACAGAACCGAGACTTCCCACGCAGAGGCCAACGCAGGGCAACCTGCCAACAACGTCTGGAATGACGATGCACAGCCAACTCAGACCACTACACTGTTGGCTCAGAATGGTGGAGCGGCTCCGGGGTCGCAAGGTCCCTGGGCCAGATCTGGGGGACCGCTCGACTCGGCTTCCCCCCGTACAAGCTATGACCCTAATGGGCTCAGCGGGGCAACCCGCCGAGTCCGACTTCGACTCCGGTTCCGATGCGGATACGTCTTCCGATGATGAAGCTACCGCCTTGGATTACTCTGATATGCCTACATACCTCACGGAAGAGCAGCAAGCTCAACTGTTATTGTTTGGGCTATCGAAAGCACAAGCGTCGTTGGCGGAGGTTCATGAAGAAACCAGTCCGCAGGGTAATACGCATTGTACGACTGTCACTTAAGAAGGAAAGGGCAAGGTTCGAAGTAATGGCAAAGGTAAGCGTCAGCGACTACATGGTAGAACCATACTCGCATTCCTAGCGTCTCTCACTGGACCTCAGCATGAGGAAATGTGTTTTAGGTAGTGGCAGAAACCGCAGGCATACAACAGGTCAAGGTAAAGGACGACGAGGAAATCCAAAGGATGCCCGGGTAAAACCATGGAGTGCGACATATGTCACAGTGCACAACATTTCCGACGTGAGTGCCTCCAAGGTGATGGCAGAGGCAGGGGTCCGTCAATGCATCTGGCGCACACGGACTCCGACATGCCGCATGTTGATGGGGGGCCGCTTCTAGCCGACCCTGCCGACGGCTCAGCCATACTTATTCATTTCACGGTTGCCAGGTGTCTGAGTGCCAGCATGACCCTCGAGAATTACGCCGATGAGTTGTTCGAGGATGTGTTCACTGGCCACAGCGACGTCGACATGGCAGCGTGGCTGGGTGTACCCATCGCGGGGCAACCTGCGGATATTGAGTTTGTCGAGAATTTCCACATGCCCGTCGAAGGCGATTTTGGCCTGGCGGGGGCACCCGCGGACTCAGCTTTTACCATTCCTTCGACAGACGAGGAAGCAAACGCACTGCTTTATCATCGGGCAATTGGAAAGCCGACAAGCGCGGAATTAATCGATGGTGATCCACTGCGGGGAAACCCGCGCGACGCTGGTGATCTATCTGGGCGTATTCAATATGAGCTTGGGCAGAATGAAGAATGTCAGTATACTTCTGTCGCGTCAGATCGGCCCGCCAGCAGCCCGAGACGATCGCCGAGCCGCCTACCTGCTAGGGAAGAGATATCGTGACGACCCAAGTCTCGCCCCAATGGACGAGGAGGACGACCGGGGAGACGGTGGCC